TCTGGATTTCAGTATATGTGGATTTTTCAGTATCTCTGGATTTCAGTATCTGTGGATGATCTTGGTTTTAGATGAGGGTTGTGGGAGCTCTCCCTTCCCCTCAACTTTGATGCTTCCAGTTGTTGCATAAATTATGGAGCTCATTTTAGTTGTTGACATTCTTGTTTTTCTTTCTAATACTTAAAAGTAGGGGATTTATAATTACTATATAATTTGAAGTATTTTGGAATGTGTGTTTTGGAAGCAGGTCTGCTGAGAAATGTCTGTCCAAATAAACATTTTCAAGAATGCAAGCAATATGAAACTAGGGTGTTCACTGCAGCAAGTTAGAGCAAGCCAGACACTTCTTTGAAAGCAGGCTGGCATTCAATTAGCCATTTAACAAAGCAGGAAATGACCACGTTAGCAGTGGATTTAATTTAAACTGATGTATTTTTCTTCTACTGTGGAAAGTCTAAACAACCCTACTTTGCCTATACACTTGTTAAAAGTTAGCTAATAGAAGCTGGTCGTTGAGAATAAAGATTAGGGTCCAGTCAGTGAAGTTTCAGGACCAGTAGAGATGTTGCTTATAGTCTTAATTTCGTCTACAATTAAAATAAAACAGGATGAATTTACTCTTTATTATCGGTAACTCATGCAGACAACCCGGTTTATCTCTGTATAAACAGGCATGGGGACCCCCTGTGTTCAGCAACGGGGAATTATGTCATGCTTTTGTAGGTGTTACACAGCCAGGTGTGGTGGTGTGCAGCTGGATGGGGCAGACTGAGAGAGGCAGGGCTTAGGCTTAAAACCTACCTGTGTGGGTTGCAGGATGGGACAGGTAACCAACCACTCAAGGTGCAGGTGTTTGGAAGGGCTCATATGGACAGGCCCAGAATATTGTATCCAAAGGTAAGAGAGGCAGCAGAAACAAGTACATAAAGCAAGAGTGGTATGTTCCAAATGTTCCAAATCACAGTAGGCAGGATGTTCAGTGGGGACGCTCCGAATTGTAGGAGAATGGTATCAGAGAAGTCTGTCAACAGTGGCCTAGGACTTTAGTCCAGGGGGCGGCCAAAAGGTTTCATCTCATGTAACTGCTCGGTGCATTTGTTAATGGATTTGGGAACTCTGTGTTGGTGTTCAGAGGCTGCCTTTGGGCTCAATAGAAAAGATCCAATGGTAGGTTCAAAGTACCCTGTGACGAGGGGACGGGGGGGGGGGGGCGGCAGGTGTGAAACATCACACTTGAGCCCTTTGTTGACTGCCCCCCACCCTAGACTACTAAACACGTGGGTGGGGAAGGAAGACTAGTAACAACAAAATAGGCTCCTGGGCCAAGGGGCGGAGCCGTGCCTCCCACTTCCTTGTGGTGTGGAGGTCTGTCTCAGAGACAGCTGAGCCTTGCTTGCAGTAAAGGGCTGAGGGTGGTCCCTGTCTTCTCAGTGCCCACCCTTCTGGAGACAGGGAGACATGGAAGCTTAAAAACCAGACAGGGTTTGATAGATAACCAACGAATTCATCACGGAGTTTTTGAGAATTTCTGCTACACACCAAGGAGAATCTGTGTTGGAGTTTAATTTGTCTGACTGGTGTAAACTGGTTAAATGTCCTTATCAGTTTCAGCCTAATTCCATCAAAAAAAAAAAACCCACGTTCATCCATTTTCACTGTGCGCACTTAAGACTGCCTGCCAGGTCGTAGGCCCTGCTGCATTCTTCTTCTGAGAAACTGGTGTTCCAGTTTCAAAGGTGGGTCAGTCCTGTCAGCCATGCTGAATGTAAACAGCGCGCTGACCGTTTCCTAGACCATCCCAAGATTCATGCGGCCTCTTCAAGAAAATTGAATCTAAGTCATCTCTAAATGCTAGTTTGAGCCATTCTTCGTCCCTTTGTGTGGTATCTCTTAGCTGCTCTGAAGAATGCGTAGGCCCTTTGGAATAAAATAAATGCTTCGGTGTGTCGGACTTGTGGAAACGTGCTACCTACCTCAGGAAGAAGGTCCTCATCCTGAATGCCTTTGTATTCAGGAATGGCTTCGTGAAATGATTGGCAGGGCACTCTTGGTTAGAGAAATGATTTCTTAGGCCTGGTTGGAATCCGACATTTTCCTAGACTCCTTCATCATTGCCCCAGCATGTGCTATTACCAGGGGGCTCTGGAAGCACAACACCGGTGCGTCTCCGGTGAACAGTCATAAATCATTCATTTGCAATGACTTTATTGTTGTGAATAGAAATGAGTACTTGAATGACTTGGGGGGGGAGACAGGGAAGCAGGGCTATTATGGGATAGATATCTTTCATAGTTTTTACCTGGTAGAGCTTGAAATGATAGGCAAAACTGATGATGTTAGAGGCAATGTGTCAATTCAAATAAGACCATTAGCACACAGTATCTAAGTACTAGGTGGGAGGGCGCTTACTCTAAATATGAAAAGAATTTTAGAGATGGTGATGGGTGACTTTGTAGGGTAATTGAGAAGACAGAAAAGGCTTAGAGAAAAAAAAATGGGACTGAAATGGGCTTTGAAGAATTGGTACAGTTTGAAAGGGGGAAGAGGAATTCGAGTTTCAAAGGTTTAGTCAAAATAAATTGCAAAATACAAAAAGAATGGCTTGATACTGAGTAGACTTTAAGAAGTAGTAAATGTTTTAAATGACAGTATCATAAAAAGCATCATTGTAGAGTTGAAAGCATTGCCTAGCTCTTCTCTGCTTCGCCCCCAGAGGTTGAGAGGTCATGTGGTGCTAACCAAACTGTGTGTGCCAGAACCAGGTCACCTGGAGGAGGTCACCTGCGGGAGGGACTCCAGCCTGGGGCTCAGCGCTGCACCTGCTTCCTGGGTTTGGGGAACCGTCATGAGGAATGGGGCTGCTTTTAAGTCCTCTGAAGTTCCCAGTATGGATCACCTATAGTAAAGAGCCCCAGTGCAATTTTTATAGCTGTGGTATAAAACTCAGAGTCACTCCATCCATCGTGCGCTGGTAAGAACAGTGAGTCTCAAATAGATCTGGGTTTGAATCAGCTCTTGGCTGCTTATTTGCCGAGTTCATATCAAGTAACTCAACCTTTCCAAACTGTTTTCTAGTCTGCGAAATGGGAATAATGCCTCTCTGCTGGGGTTGTTGTGAGATTTAAATGAGGTGACAAGTACTGAAAGTCATGACCCTAGAGCCTGTCTCTGCCATTGCTCAGCTCTGGTTTTTAAGGACCTACTGGAGGGGGGCCCCCTTCAGCTCCAGCTCCTCATTCCCGTCAGGCCCTTCCCCCCTGAGCCCACACTGCCAGCCAGCAGAGCCAGGCCTCTAGATGCCTGCACGGGCTTCACTGCTAATCTGCAGACGACACATTCACTGGGCAGGTCCTGCTCTGTGGGTGCATTGCTTGGAGGGAGGAAGGTACCTTCTTAGTATCATGCCCTTTCCCGCGTGTGCAGCGTGGTGAGTGGAGGGGCCTGGATTTCAGTAGCACCTCCCCGTGCCACGTGCCTCTGTGCAGTGCGCAAAGTGCACAACTGTACACAGCCCCAAACAGTGCCATCTCCTTCATTTCACAGGAAGGTCTTCTCCCTGTTTGATGTGCAGTGATCAACCCATTCCATAGGCTTATGCCCTTAAGACCTGGTCCTCTTCAACTTAACTATTCCGTAGTTCTTCCTGTTACTTTCCTCTGCTTAGTTAACATTCCTCAAGGACAAAGCCTTCTCCTGTTGAGCTCCTCCTAGCATAGAGCTAAGCAAAGGATAACAATCATCCGCATGAATTTTTTAAAATTCTTTGACAGACTAACCAACTTTCAAAGAACTTTGGCGTACCCGCTCATGTAGTGCATCCGGCAAACCTGTGAAGCAAGCATCTCCCCTATTGGGAGGGAAACTAAGGTTTGAAAGGTTAAACAGAGAGTCACTGAGTTCTCAGAACTTGGATAGTCTGCTGTTCCCTTTGTTCCTAAAAGTCTTAAAAGTACCTAAAGCTGAACAGCAGGTTTTCTTGACTCATTACGGGCTATGTTTACCCTACTGATACTTAGGTATAGCTAAAGCAGATTTCTATAGGGCAGTTAAGGTACAAACAGGACCATTTAACACAGGGCAGCTCTGAATGAAACCCATTTTAAGTGTATTTACATTATTTCAGATTTCATGGATATATTCAGAAATATTAATCAGCATAATTGAAGTCTAATACTGCACCCTCAAGCCCAGAGTGGAAAATAAATGACTCTTTCTCCCTCCTGCCCTTCTACACCTGTCAGAGTTAATGTTTAACCACTGGCACATTGCAAAACATTCATCCTGAAGAGCCTGATTCATAAATCTTGTTTTAAATGCTCTGGGCTTGGTTTTCAACCAAGACTAAAGCAAGCACTAAGGTAGAGGGAAATGACTTTCAAAGAGTTTTACTTTTCTCTGATTTATTTTTTATTGGGTTTAAAATGTGGTGTGACATTAGAGGGTTGTTTCAAAGGTGAGAAATGAAACCTTGAAAAAAAGGCATATATTTAGATGGGTCGGAATAAACAGAGAGGCAAGCCATACTAGGTTAAAACGAAAAATTGGAAGTTTTATTCGTGCTCTGAAAAAGAAGTGTATTTCAGGGGTGCGTGTATCAGTGGAGTATCGGGCAACTTTTGTTTTCATCTCACAGACTCCTTCTCTCTCGGGGCAGCATTCGAGAGGGAAGGAGTGCTTCATTCTGCCAAGCAATGGTCACACCTTTTCACGTATTTTGTAGAATGTATCCTATGTAAATCTGGGCTTATTTATAAATTCAAATGGACATCCTCCTTAGTGCAGCGTCAGTAAGAGCACTGGATGTGGGGTAAAGAATTTGCATCTTCCTGAAAGCCCCTTCGGTCCTCATTTGTCTTAAGTTAAAATTATGAAGGGAGGCATTCATTTAACCCTTGAAGATTTTGGTTCACTTATTTTTTTCTAAGCACTGCATTTTTTTTTTTTTTTTTTTTTTATAAAGAAGCTGTGCAGGATGGAAGCTGGTTGGGGAACGCTATCTGATGGTGATTTGCACGTGTGAGATAGTGTTCTGTCTGTACTTTTCAAGCTTACTTTCATGATATTTTCCTGACTATATCACGCCTGCGGAGAAACGAAATGTGGCTTTTTTTTTTTTTTTTTTTTGCCTCTGAAATGAGTTTTACAAAACTTTGAGGAAAGGAAAAGTAGTAAGACGTATTGTTTTGAGGAATCCAGAAGGTAAAGTTAGTTTTCAAATATATGTGTAAGTTCTCTAGTCTGGCTGAGTTTTTTGGGGTCTCGGATACATGCTGAAATTAAAATACAAAATTTTTTTTTTAAGAGCTTAGCAGCCACATGAGCAACACTTCCTAAGTTGATATGACATCTGTACATTTGATTTGTGAGTTATTTGCAAATGAATCCTCTGTTTCATTCGTGTGAAGTTTTGGACATAGTGGGAGATGAATGAAACAATGCAGAAAGTTGAACATCTTCTCCCAAGGAGAAGTTACTGATTCTGTTCTACCAGCAGAGGGCTCCCTTTTTAAGCTAATGAAGAGCAGCGGGCGTCTTGCCCATCACTTTTCAAAGCCGAAAACTGAATGAGAAAAGACTCAGCTCACACTTCCAGTAATGTAATAGAACCTCTATGGTAGAGGATTGTACATGTTGTGAGAAACTTGACGCAAAGTTCTCAAATCTAAGACTTGCTCTAAGTTGGGGGTGTACTGCTTTCTTGGACAGTGGACAGTTTTGTTCTGAGATGGAAAATACACTGTTGGGCTAGAAAACATCATCATCTTGGAAGGTTTTGACATGGAACATCATGTAAAATCAGACAGGTATGCTGAGGAGACTGATGTTTCCAAGCTTTCTAGCTTTAGAAAGACTATTTTTAAAAGTAGGGCAAGATTCTGCAGCTGAGGATGCAAGCGTGTTCTTAAAACTAACCATATGTCCCTGTGATCAGCAGGCAGGAGCTGGAAGATTCTCTTAAAGACTCTTTTCTTTCCATTGGAAAGTAGGTTTTTCATGCTCTCTCAGTTGCACCAAAGGAAAGTTTGTTGAAGTCACCTGTATCGTGAGGTTAGCACATTTCCAGATACTGCAGGTAATCCTCAAGCTGGGGCCTGCCTGCGTGCACTTTTATGTCCGCCCCTCGATCTTCCTTTAGCTCTGCATGGGACCATGGAGTCACCTTCCTATGCAGAGTCTGAGGGTAAATACTATAGACAGAACCGTGCTTCTTCACAGATAATTAGAAGGTCTTTTTGAAGTAAATAAGCTAGAAATAGAAAACAGAAAAAGTCAGTTTTGTTATAGGTGTGAAATTTTCACACGTGGCCTAAAAGAAATTAACTTCAGTTTCACTTGTTAATTTTAACTTTCTCTGGCAGAAGGAAGTGAAGACCCAGGGCCAGTGGGTGGAGAAAAAGGAGTTTAGGACCAAAAGTCTGAAGGCTAGGTTGTGGTGCTCGGGCCTTGATCCCATGGCAGACCGCTTCACCCCTCTGCCCTCTGGTTTGGGGTTATGTGTGTGTCGCCTGAGGGATTTCTTGAAGTGCTCTTTAGAATTACTTTCTGGTTTTAGAGCTAGTGATTCTGTGACTTGACCTTGTTACGGTGCTGGGGGTATCAGTAAAGCCGTCCATCTTATGCAGATGCCAGTGAAAATTTTCTTAGGTCAAATTTTAGTCTGGTTCATTGCAACTTTCTCAGAGGACAGAAGTCCTCTGGGAGGGCATACCATTCTCCTGGCCCTATCCTTTGCGCCATTTAGCAGTCACGTGAACTTCATGCAGACACACCTTTTAAGTATTAGGCAACCGGACGGCCAATTAAACTGGGTTGAAGTCGGCTCCATAAAAGTAGCTGCATAGTGGGTTTCTTCTGCCAGTCTTCACGTGGTCGTGGAGGGTAGTATCCATGCAGACTTACAGCAGTCTTCCCTGGGATCCTCTCCTCCCACGAGCAGACCTCTTGCAAACCTGTCCCCTGCCGAACCCCTCCGCGGGGCTCTCCTGGTACACCTGCGGGGCGAGGTGGACTTGCTCGGTGTTCTGGGCCGTTCGGAGAGGCTCAGGCCTTTACAAGCAAGGCTTTGATTCTATTTTTGCTGAACTAGCTCAGCCACTTCCTGTGTTGGGCCGTGCATAGTGCCTCGCTTCACTGTGGCCACTTGAGCCCCGCGCGCTGCTGCAGCCAGTTAGACTATTTTAGGTCCCTTCACAATGGCCTTCTCATTTCCTCGGCGAAAATGAGCTAGTCGGGCTGGCAGTGGCCACTTGTTAGCCGATGACAACTTTGACTTTGACTTGGGCTCCCCTCCCCCACCCGAAATCCCTAGCTCAGCAAATATTTGAACCTGCCCAAGTTAATCATGAAGCCGTGATCTTTATCTGCGAGCCGCGCGAGCGCCAGGGCTTTCTCCCTCCCGCGGACAGCACCAGCACCAGCACCAGCACCAGCATCCAGTGGCTCTCTCCATGGCGAGCGGGCGGTGAGCGGCGCTGCTGCGGCAGTCCCGGCAGGCCCGGCCCGGCGTCCGCGTCGCGCCGCGCGAGCCCGAGGGTCCCGCGCCGCCGCCGCCGCCCCTGCCCCTGCGCTCTGCGGGCGCGAGCACCGCCACGGAGCGGGGGCCGCGGGGGCCGCGGGGGCCGCGGGACTAGCCGGGGGCATTGTTTGCACTGTCGGATCCTGGCCTTGCCGCGGGAAACTGCAAACATGCATAACCTGCAAAGTAAGTTGCCTTTCCCTTGTGCCCCCCTCGCTGCTTCCCTGCTCTGCTTTTTGTACTTCCGTGAAAGGTTCCCTTCTGTAGTTTGTCTTTGCGGGTGTGTGTGTATGTGAGTGTGCGAGTGAGACTGATTAAGTGCTGTCTGGGGAGGGCAGATAAGAGATTAGCGGAGACACTCCCCCCCTTTCCTTTCCTCGAGGGACACAGTGGGAGGAAAAGATGGGGTTTAGGTTAGAAATGGGGAAGGAGGTAATTACAAAGTGCTTGGCTGGAAGTTGGTGCAGGGCCAGGCCTTGGAGAGAGGTGGAAAATCCCGTCTCCCTCCCCTCCTCCCTGGGTCAGTTTGCCACAGGGGATCCAGCAGCAGGACTGGTTTGCACCAAGTGCTCCCAGTGGCATGGGCTGGCCCTTTGGGCTGTTAGCCTGTCCACAGCTGCTGGCAGGACTCCTTTTGGGAGAGAAAACACATTTGTATTAAAGAGAAAATTTTTTTTCTGAACCTGATCTGAGGACATATCCCACCTCCCACTTTGACCGTGTGTGTGTGTGTGTGTGTGTGTGTGTGTGTGTGTGTGTGAGTGAATTTTGAGTTGAGGAATAGAAAAGTGTCCCTGGGAGCCGGCTGCAGGGTCTGGGGTTGAGTCTGCCTTCCTCATTAATGGGGAAATGAATTCAGGTAGACAGGGTACAAGTGAACAGTGCTCAGAGAATGCCTTGCTTTGCTCCACTACTTCCTATGATTTATATTGTAAACGTAGACAGATGGTTTACAGTGGGAATGTACATTTGGCTCTAGGAAGGGTGGCCGGATTATATGCAGAATGGCTTTAAAGAACTAAAATTAATAGATCTATAGGGGAATTGATTTCCTTACATTAAATACTGCTAACTAGGATTAATAGTCCCCAGAGTATGAGGCATTAAATCCCCAAAGTGATTACATCACTCTCCCACCTCCAGCAGTACTAAGCCCATCTTCAGACTTCTGGTGCTACCGGTGAGAAACAGTTTGCAAACATCCTGCTACCTCTACTCTGCATTCTGATATATGGCCTCTTTCTTTTTGGAAGATAAAACTTACCTTGACTACTCTTGTTAATAACATTAAATTTCTGCCGGTAATACACACGTCTTCATTCCTATTAAGATTTTTCATTGTTATTCCCTAAGGTCTAGTTTTAACTTTACTATGTTTGGTAGAAGGAGATTTTTCTTTTAATTGTGCTTTCTCATGTGGTACATTTGTAACAGTGTTTAAGGTCGGAGTTGTCAGTGAATTCTGTAGGAATGAAATGAAATTGGATCCAGAGTTCTTAATCCCTTCTGCTTTTAATATATACAGGAGGTATTTAAGGGCTGTAAAATATACCTTAAATATACCATTTTGATGCATTTGTAAGATTTTTAGACCAAGGCATGATCAGGCTCTCCATAAACCCAGATGCACGGCGGGTGGGGGGGGGGGTAGCTACGTGCTGCAGCATATCAGCTTTTGTCAACCTGCCAACAGCGGAGCGTACCATGCTGCAAGGAGTAATAAAAAAGGAATTAGAAAACTCACTGGCGGAGGAGAACAGTCAAATTAAACACCTTTTTGAAACGATGAGCATGTATACATTGCCGGTCTAGTAAATGTAGGTTCTCAGCGAGGTTGGGATTGTGTTAGGGCTGGATGTCGAAGAGAAATGATGAAGCAGGAGTGGTCTGGTGACATTTTTCTGACTTGATTGGCTGGGGTGTGTGATGTAATAGGTTACAGTGCAGCCCCTTATAGGTTTTAAAATGAATTCCAAGACACCATTACAAAGAAAGCCGGACTCTTTTCTTATAACTGAGCTCAGCCAAGGGAAACTCTCGCACAAATGTACAACACTGTTTGGAATATGGAAGACCTGGATTTAGAATATGCTAAGACAGATAGAAATTGTGGCACAGACTTGATGTTTTATATAGAAATGGATCCACCAGGTAATACTGCAGTATTCTTTTAGAAAGCTAGTTAATTGTGTGGCTTTTTTTTTTTTTTTTTTGACAACTACTGTAAGTGATCCTCTTTAGATTTCTATTTATTAACTTGTAATTTAATAAAAATTTGCTTGATCATAGCTTGGACATGAAATTGTTTGCCTGAGGAAGCAAGATCAGGCTGTATGTGGTGAATGCTTTTTCTTACTTGAACAGATAGGAATTGAATTCCAGTTTTTCACTGGTGTCTTTTGTTAATTGAGGTCTTTTTGCTATTTGGGTTATAGTGTTGTATATCGTTCATACTGTTCCTTTAATGAAAAGGATGCGTCCTTTGTGCTGCTTTTCTCTTTTGACAGTGGATGAGGACAGTGTGGTACTTTGCAGTGATAACACTTGGTACTTTTAGAAAGCATGTAAAACCTAGCAGTGATTGCAGCTCAGTCCTAGATGACCTGAAACTATTCTAAATCAAACGCTGAGACTTTGCCGGTTCTTATATTAAGACACTGTACTGAGAAAAGGAGTTGGCTTCCTAATATTTATTTAGTCCTAGCCTTTATAAAATATTCTTGATAGACTCCTGAAATTTTTGCATAAAATACTAATCCTTTAATTTAAAACTTGTGACTTTTAGAATTCAGTTACAAACGCTGGCCTTATTTTGCTTCCTAAATTCTATTCCAATATTAGCCCTGCTCCCAATTAAGAAATTCAGAAGCACTGCAGTCTTTTATTTGTCACCAATTGGTATATGAATTCTGATTTGACATTGAGGAAGAGGGCTATGGTTTTTCCTCAGTCTTGGCATATAGAGCACAATTTATCCAAAAGAATATTAACGTGAATACTAAAGAGATTTAGGTCACAGATGAGTTTCTTAAAGTGGTTTTTGGCAAAATAGTGCCTGAAATACTAAGATTAGAGAAACCCAGTTCCTCCTCTTAAAACATATTGCTGTGGATGAGTTTTATTACAGCAACAGCATTTGTGGAGGATAGAAACCAAATTTGTCTTTTATAATTAAATAAGAAGAGGAAATTAAAGCCAACCCATGTGATTCTTCCTGCTCATATGTTCACGGTTTCCTATTTTAGATGGATTTGATCAGGCCTGAAACTTTAATATAACTAGAGCCTAGAAGTAGAAAAAGCCGGGACTCTGGATTCACTCTGAAATTCATTCACAGGGCCAGCCCGGTTTATTTGTTAACCTGTAAGCTGTTCTCTCTTTTCCACTTCCTTTTCTTTTCAACAAAATCATGCTGTTTCATACAACTGTGCATTATTGCTGTACCTCACAGTATTCTAAAGAAACTTAAATTAGACCTAAGCATTTCAACTGTAGTTGGGATTGCCAACAACTTTTTCTCTTTCTCCTGTAGCATTGCCTCCTAAACCACCAAAACCCACTACTGTAGCCAACAACGGTATGAATAACAATATGTCCTTACAAGATGCTGAATGGTACTGGGGAGATATCTCAAGGTAAGGCTGTAAGCACGCTTGAGTTTTCACTAGAGAGAGTCCTAGTTTTAGAGAAAGAAATGCACCAGCGTGCTAAGTTCCATTTTTAGGATATCCTCCAACATAAGCATGAAGCATAGTTGGTTGTCTTCCAAAGAAGACCAGAGAAGTCCCTGAGCGCCGGGGCACTGTGGGTGCTGGATGCCACGGGAAATTAAATACTCGACAAGTTTCATTATTGACAGAAATGTCAGGAAAGCACCAGGGTGGAGTGGCACTGCCTAAAGGCAGGGTCCAAAGTCACTTGCCATTAGGGAAAACTGTCAGGGTTCGTGTTATTTACAAGGGCATCTTCATTCATTGCTTTTTTTGAAGGGGGGGGTAAGGAGTCCCTTTGGGGGGGGTCATGTCTTTTTGTGCTCGTTTGTCAGTGTGTTTGGTGAAAGAATAAATTAAAACTTTGTACCACAGAGATACCAGTACTGAAAGTGGGTATTTTTGTTTTGTTTAGCTCCCAGTTTGTAATGAGATGAAATTTATAACATTTTATATAAACAATACATGCAATCTATAGCGGGCGGAGGAGGGGTAGAGAGGCGCTCTCTACCTACTTTGTGCTTAGTTTTGCTGTGCAGTTAAAACTCTAAAAACCAAGGGCTGTTTTAAAAATGGAAACAGTGAATACTCAAAGTGAGCTCTGTCTTGTGTCGTTTTCATTTCAGGGAAGAAGTGAATGAAAAACTTCGAGATACAGCTGACGGGACCTTTTTGGTACGAGACGCATCTACTAAAATGCATGGTGATTATACTCTTACACTAAGGTGAGTCAGGGAACATAGCCAAGATTGAGGTGTGGAAGCAGACATTAAAACATATTTCTTTAGAGAAGATTGTAATGCCATTACTTTTATTGTATCTACAGGAAAGGAGGAAATAACAAATTAATCAAAATATTTCACCAAGATGGGAAATATGGCTTCTCTGACCCACTGACCTTCAACTCTGTGGTTGAACTAATAAACCACTACCGGAATGAGTCTCTAGCTCAGTATAATCCCAAACTGGATGTAAAGTTACTTTATCCAGTATCCAGATACCAACAGGTAATCACAACTGAAATACTCATGTTACAGTATTTAGACAAGATACTTTCAAACGTTTAGAAAGCATGGTGAAGCAGACGAAGTGCATGTAGTGAGGTTTTAGTTTGATAATGGCCAAAACAATGACTATAAATACCTCGTTAACTGAAGTTCTAATTCTTCCAGGATCAAGTTGTCAAAGAAGATAATATTGAAGCTGTAGGAAAAAAGTTACATGAATATAACACTCAATTTCAAGAAAAAAGTCGGGAATATGATAGATTATATGAAGATTATACCCGTACTTCCCAGGTGAGTGTTCTGCGAAAGTCACATTATAGTCTCAGACCTTTTAGTTACTAGAATCTAAGATGTGTCCTTTCAGTTTAGGAAAAAGAAAGTTGACCTTCTGCTACTAAGGTGGGGGGAAACACTATTATTCATCATTATCTCTAGACCATGGTATCTCTATAAGCTTTCCAATGAAGCTCTTACAGATTTTAGAATAGTAATCATGATAATTGAAGAGGTTGCTGTGAGTTTTAAGTGGATTTGACATAATTCCTGATTGAACAAGTCCCCCCCCCCCCGCACAAACTTGTGTAACCTCCAAAATGGGGATTTAACTATTACATACCCTGTCATAAAAAAGTAGAGGCTCCATTTACTGCAGTATTATCTTCTCTAGGCCGAGATGTATCTAGGACCACCAGAGGGAGTAGAAGGCAACGTGGATTCCTTAAATTGCTGATAAAGGGGAAGGACTTTTAAAACGATGAAAACTATAGGAAGTTGTCAGACAGTATTCTTTCACAGACCGGGAAAATTCCCCAGGGAAATGTGTGCTTCTGTGCTATTATTTTAATGGGTTTTATGAATGAGAGGCCTTGCCTGCTAACCGAGTACTTACATGCTCGGTAAGTAATAGCCTCAAATGCCCTGACAGTGTCTCACAGTAACACAGTACCTGTTCTATGAAAGGTATGACATTGTCTTATTAAACACTGTGTTGTAGGAAATCCAAATGAAAAGAACAGCTATTGAAGCCTTTAATGAAACCATAAAAATATTTGAAGAACAGTGCCAAAGTCAGGAACGGTACAGCAAAGAATACATAGAAAAATTTAAACGTGAAGGCAATGAGAAAGAAATACAAAGGTGGGTGAATCATGAGGGTTGTCCTTGTGTGAAAGATGATCTTGCTTTCTGTGCTTTGAATAATTAAAAAAAAGAACCACCACGACAGCCCTAGAAAGCATTCTTTACCTGAGGAAAAGTCCTGGGCGACCATACTGAGTCTTTGCCTAAGCTTTGGGAAACCGTCATGATGAAGCAGGTAGTGACCCATGCCTTTCTCCTGCCTCTAGGATTATGCATAATTATGAGAAGTTAAAGTCCCGAATCAGTGAAATTGTGGACAGTCGAAGAAGACTGGAGGAAGACTTGAAGAAGCAGGCAGCTGAGTACCGGGAGATTGACAAACGCATGAACAGCATTAAACCAGACCTCATTCAGCTGAGAAAGACAAGAGACCAATACTTGATGTAAGTGGAAAGCCGAACCCTGGAAGCCAACAACTGATAGTTGCAAAAGTTAAGGATACATTATTAATGCGTTTTGCTTTTCTGTTTTCCAGGTGGTTGACTCAGAAAGGTGTTCGGCAGAAGAAGCTGAATGAGTGGTTGGGCAATGAAAATACGGAAGAGTAAGTACTGCCTGCAGGTGGGAGGCAGCAAAGGAGGTTTTTCGTTTTAGGGAAACGCATGACTTGCTTTGTTTGCAGAAAAGTGAGCAATTTTACCACATTTGGAACATCCTCTACAAGCTACGTCTCTTTATCCAGAATGTTAAAAAAGGAAAGTTCAGGGAATGGGGATGGCGATCTAGATTTCCCCCCCCGACACTGCTGTAAAACGACCCTGTGTCCATAAGGAAGGCCCTGGACACCTGAAAACTGCCCATGTGTTTCTGAAACAATCGGGAGGGGGGAAAAAAAAACAGACACAATTCTTTTCAGTGTATCTCCAAAGCTTAAGTAGATGTTTTGTTTGAATTATTTGAAAACTGGCAGTCCTCCTAGTCAATACATTTCCTGATCTGAACTGGACAAACAGGATTGGTTGATACCCTCCTCTCTGCCCAGGTACCTCGATGTAGTTCCTGACTCGAAAAGAGCGAGAGTTTCCCTTACTGGTGTTCTTGGTCCAGGGAGGTCACACTGAAGGCTAGGCTGGATGAGAAAAGGCCAGCCAGGCCGTCCCCGCTGCTCCACGGAGACCCTTTCTCTCCTTCCTCTCTAGCCAATATTCGCTGGTGGAAGATGATGAGGATTTGCCGCACCACGACGAGAAGACCTGGAATGTGGGCAGCAGCAACAGAAACAAAGCTGAGAACCTCCTCCGAGGGAAACGAGACGGCACCTTCCTGGTCCGGGAGAGCAGCAAACAGGGCTGCTACGCCTGCTCCGTAGTGTACGTAGCTGCAGCCGGGTTTGGCCTGTCACACCGGTCCTGACGGGTCGCTTGCTTCCGTTCCTTCAGCCACCGAGCTTGGGGCAGGGATTTGAGAAAGTTCCCATCTGGAAGAACCTCACAGTGCAATGGTGCAGAATAGGAAAGAAGACAGGCTGTTTTTCAAGTCTAGGCAGAAGCACAGAAACCTGCCGTGGAGGTCAGACTGGGGTTTGGGTCCTGTTTCACCAGCTACTTAGTCCCAAGTCCAAATCTTTTCATCTTTACAGTGGAACTAGCAATACTTGCCCCCCACCCCCTTTTAACCTCCCAAGGCTAATAGCATTAGAATGTGAGGTGATTCCCACGAGAGCTCCACCCACAGGGCAGGTCCACAGCAGGAACGGGTCAGAACAGCGAGAAATGTCACTGCCCTGTGAGAGCAGGGCACCCAAGAGAAGACATTTCCGTCATAGGGCATATTTTCCTTTTACTTTTCATACTATTCCCCCCTCCTATCTCTTCAGAAAAGGGAGTGTCCTCTAGGAAGGAAAGGTTCTAAAAATACAACATCTTTGTGACCTCCTTCCATTTAAGCAGAGAAAAAAATCCTACAGGAAAGAGGAAGTAAGAAGAACGTTGAGCTAAGGCCAGGAGAATAGGAGAATATAGGGTGAATGCAGAGGGAATCCGATGAATACTGGTAATGGGAGAGCCCCCGTCGTCGCGCCAGCACCGCTCCGAGTGGCGGGAAGCTTCTGCACTTCCCGCGCCCCGGCCCTTCTGCCAGGTCCTTCGTATGCGTGATCTCACTTCTCAAAGCCACCGTGGTACAGTATGTACCATTTTAAAGTCGCAAATACAGTGGCTCAGTGAGGCTGTCGCCAGCCCACAGCACTCTGCCTGTGAGTGACAGAGCCACGAGTTGACGGCGAGCCCGGGAGGCGCCCCCTCCTGGAGAATGGCCTGCAGAGTGCACTTTCGCATGACGATGACTTCATGAGCAACGCCTCGTGGAGTCGAGAATTGTCTAGGACTGGCTCAAAAGGTGTGTTTTCTCTCTCCTCTGCAGGGTGGACGGCGAAGTCAAGCACTGTGTCATCAACAAAACGGCCACCGGCTACGGCTTCGCCGAGCCCTATAACCTGTACGGCTCTCTGAAAGAACTGGTGCTTCATTACCAGCACACGTCCCTCGTGCAGCACAATGACTCGCTCAACGTCACACTGGCCTACCCAGTATACGCACAGCAGAGACGATGAAGCGCTTGGCCTCGGATCCTGCTCCTGACCTTCAGCCACCCTGAGGCCTCTGGACAGCACAGGGCTCCTCTCCGGCCTTGACCTGTCATTGAGCTGCGGAAACGAGGCCATCAGCCTTCAGATGGGACAAAAGAGTAGAGGGGAAGACACGCAGCCTAGCACCGTGCGGTGACCCTACATCTCTGATCTGGAGCGCTTGTCCTTCCTTCTGTTTTGGGGGGGTTTTTTGTTTGTTGGTTTTGTTTTGGGGTTTGTTTTTTTTTTTTTTTTGGTTTAATTTAAGCCACAACAACACACGACACAAGGAGAAAAAGACATGCAAAAATCTCCGCGTGCAGGGACAAAGAGGCCTTTAACCATGGTGCTTGTTCATGCTTTCTGAAGCTTTACCAGCTCAAAGTGGGGACCTCGGAGACCAGAGGGTGGACAGGCTCCAGAGCCCCGGCCTGCGAGTGCTCGCGCCAGGCTGGCTGGGCCTGGGCCTTGCTGTGCACGGTGGACCCGGACACGTGGCACTGTGGATTATTTCCTTTTCTGACAGATGAACCATATGTAGCAGAAAGGCACTTCGGCTCACAAGAGACATTCTGGGAGACCATCGGCTCACCTACGTTCAGAGGAAATTCTGTTGTAGCGGAGTGCCAGAAAGTGTTTTGTTTAGACTTTGAAAAACAAAAAACGACCCCACCAGTGGAAAAAACGGAGCTTGGAAAACAAGACTTTAAATGACATTCATTATATAAAATATGTACATAACAATGGATGACTAACTATCAGATAGATAGATTTGTATCAATACCAAATAGCTTCTGTTTTGTTTTGCTGAAGGCTAAATACAAAGTGCTATGCAATTCTTAATTGTCATTGTTATCTCAATTTTAAATGTACCTTCAGAATAAGCTTCCCCCGCCCATTTCTGTTGCTTGAAAATATTGTCCCTGATTTTTTTGTTAATATTCGTTTGTGATTCTTTTCCTTTTTTTAAAAAAAGAAATGTACAGGATGCCAGTAAAAAAAAGAAAAAAAAAAAGCTTCAGAATTAAAACTATGAAATATTTTACAGTTTTTCTTGTACAGAGTACTTGGCTATTAGCCCAAGGTTAAAAAGTTCATAACAGATTTTTTGGACTAAATGTTTTGTTGGGCAGTGCCTGATAAGCTTCAAAGCTGCTTTATTCAATAAAAAAAAGAGAAAGATATATAAATATGACAAAGTATCGCTGAGTTCAACAATGTTTCGAGACTCTTAAAATACGGTACCTGGTAATGTTTGTTTCGTAAAGAATTGTGAACTTCTTGAATCTGGGGGTGGGGAGGGGATGTAGCAAAGGGATGTACAGGTGGGGCGGCAGGAGGGGTGGCAAGATGGTATGCACTTTTCTCATGATTACGGAGAAGTGAGTAACTTATACTTCAGTCTTTTCCCACTCTCATTTGCTAGTTACTATACATTAATGACAAGTACAGACCGACTGGGACTCTAACGCGGTGTGGCGGCCGGTCAGATAATGTAGTTCGTAGGAAGAAAGTCAGCCTCCTGGGGCGGTGTTCACCTTTATTTGGAACACTGCAGGGTGTAATCGCTGCATTTAGAATATGTGTCTCTTTTTAACATGAGATTACCCCTTACAACTAATAAACATTCATTTCAGAAAAAGCCATGACCGGAAAAAAGATTTTTATCTGCACATTTGTTATTTTCCTACCTTCCCATTCAACTGAGACCACAAGGCCAATACCCATGCTCCGAGCCGCTCCTGTGCTGGGCTCTGGCGAGCTCAGTAAAGGCCACTGCAGGGATTCCCGACAGTCCTCCCGGTTCATCCAAGTCAGCGTACGGTTTCCACTTCAGCGTGGGGGAAAGGCGGGGGTCTTAGAGCATCCTTTCCAACTTGGGGCCAGAGGGAGAGTGTGTCCCGGACTTACACATGCCCAGTCCATTCTGTGTGGCGGCAAGCGTCCGTGTGTGGGGAGGGCCAGAGGATCGATGTGACGGTCCCGACCCTGGTAGTTTCCAGTGGAGCCTCACAAGTGCAGTTTTCCTTTGCCAGGATCGCTTCAGCCACGGCTTTATTTCAGATACTCCAGGGAGGGCTTTTTGTCGTGGTTTGCGGTGGTAATTCCTTTTAAAAACTCTTTTGAAGTAACTGGTCCAGCAGCTGACTCCAACTGCAGAGTGTCGGTCTTACGGCCAGACTGTCAGCCCTGAGACCTGACTGCACTGACCAGACCATCTCCCTCTCACCGCCACACGACCGAGGACTGCCCTGCTTGTAAGTGTCGCCTTGAAAACGGTCCTTCACTTCCCCCGCAAGCCAGCCGCTTCTTTAAGAGTGGTTTATAAACTAACGTCCTGCTGGGGTCTTTTTTGGTAGCACATCCATGGATGCTGTTAAGTATAATTTTCATTTCACATTTAAAATACAAGGTCTGAGATGGAATGTTTCGTTAAAAGATAGTTTTGTTAACGTTTTTGGTTCACCACTCTCCCAAGACGGCTCAGTCTCTAGGCACCTGCCTTAGTTTTGCATCTCACAGACGCAAGTAAGTGCAGCAGGGCTCTCTCTGAGCAGCCAAGGCAGGCTTCATCGTTCCCTGTTTATAGTGAGTTACACCGTAGCCATGAGGTCACGCCTCCGCCAAATGCCTTCTGGATTGCGTGTAGCGTGCCCACCACATTCGTCGTCCTACACGCTTGACCAGAAGAGCTCTTGGGGTTCGATTGGTCATCTCCTAATAACACGGAGTGGCTCATGAGTATGAATGGATACAGCAGAGGCACTCCTGAGAACATGCTTTCATGCACGCAGTGATTTTTTCCCCACGCGCTGCAGCATCCAGAGGCTAAGCTAGCTGCAGCGAGGCTGTGAGGGGGCTGGACAGTGGGAGCACGGGGACCCGATGCTACCCACAAGAGAAAAATCCTAACCCTGGGAGAAGGCAAAAAGCATGTGTTTGCAACATCTGACAAGTTCACGGCCCTTGATATATGTATATATGTATATGTGCATGGACTGTTTCCAGTACACCTTTCAGCCAAAACAGATCCACAGTTGTCGGGTTCAAGTACATAACAAGCACATGTCTAGTACAACTCTTGTGTATGTGTATGGGTTGTTTTTTTTTTTCCTTTGAAGTGGCTTTGTCTTGTCTTCTAAAGGTGAAAATTGTTGGCAAGTGAAGTGAGAAGTTCATAATTCTTTGGCTTTTCTCTGCTTTGTAAAGTTCCTCCTTTCGGTGAGCTGGTCTGGATGACTTGCTTAACTTGGAAATCCTCATTTGCAGTGTGTCGAGTCAAAATGTGTTTATGTGAGCTGTCACTGTGGGGAACCAAGTGCTTTGTCATATAGCTGGTTATGAACTAGTCACGTGTCTGGGAGTCCTACTGATGTTCCTTAATGGGAGAAAAATTCTGCTGGTTTTAACACCTGTCCTTTTGCTATGCATGGTATGCAAGGAGTCGGAAAGCAGACCCTGAAATCTGAGTTCAGGCTCTTTTAAGAAAGGGGCAGTTTAAAGCACGATGCCTCACATGGGACAAAGTTCGAAAATGCCAAATTCTTATTTTTTTTACAAAATCCAGTTGTGTAAAATACTAGTACTATGAGTAGCAAGGGAACAGAATTGGGTTCATTGGAAACACTATCCAACTTAACATTAAACTTGTCACCATGAGATAGCATTAGCTGCCCAGGATGCTGCTATTTAAAAAAACAAAACAAAACAAAAAAAGGCAAAACAAAAAAACTCATTTATATGTGTGTATTTTTTAAAGCTATGATCTGTTCAATGTTTTTACAAATCTGTTTATATGACATTGTTAAAATAAAGTTGGTCTTTTGACGAGAGGGAGGATGTCATGGTCAGTTGTAATTCTGCCTTTACAAGGCAACTGGGTTGGGGGGTGGGGGGAGTGTGCCTCCTTGACATGTTGTTCAAGCTATAGATTCAGTGGAGCTATGTCTTGTTGATTTCAGTTGCTTCGATGCGTTGTATTAGGTCTTCAAACAGAATAAAGGTTGTTTTGAAACTTAAGTTATGGTGTGAAATTTCCATTATCACGTAATAAACACTGAACCTGAACCTGCTCTCTTCCTCTTCTGGTTAACAAATGCTGCTGCTGTTCCCCCAGTCTCCCACCTACCTGTTTTCATCCTGTCATCACATGAGCTCATTTTGGTGAAGTGAGAAAGACACTAAGTAGTCACAAGAATGACAGGTTAGTGTTGTTGGCAAAATTCCACTACCTCCTTAATGATGAAAACAAATACCTCTAGGTGATGTCATTTCAAATCATGTTCTTGCTATAATGGCCACTGTCCATCCGTCCTTTCCCTTGTCCACCATCCATCCCCAAACCTTCAGAATTGTTCTCGACAAACTATGTTTTGTTAAGGGAGCGGTTTTTGTCTCTAGTCTCTAGTCAGCACGTACTGAACGCCCACGGTACAGGGACAGCATGAGGCAGCATTCAACAGGGCGAAGTGTGACACGGGGTGTGACATGCGGCTCAGGGAGGGAGCTAAACTACACTCCACATCGAGGTTTCTCATTGTAGCATCTAGTTAATATGTACAAACCATTCTTTTTTTTTTTTAAAAAAAGATTTTATTTATTTATTTGACAGAGAAAGACACAGCGAGAGAGGGAACACAAACGGGGAGTGGGAGAGGGAGAAGCAGACCCCCCGCCGAGCAGGGAGCCCGATGCGGGGCTCGATCCCGGGACTCCAGGATCATGACCTGAGCCGAAGGCAGTCGCTTAACCAACTGAGCCACCCAGGCGCCCTGTACAAACCATTCTTAATGTGAAATAACTTGCCATTTGTTTTTATTGCTGAGCAAATTTACAGTGACGCTATTTTGCATGGACACGGCACTCATTTACCACGGAGGCACAGCAAGGGTCCCAGACAGGAAGGCGTGGTCCAGTAATGGAAATGAGAGGGGCGCAGAAATACAGTCATGGCGGCAAGGACTAACAGAGTGTGGCAATAACAAATGCACTTCCTGCTCCCCCCCCACCCCTCCCCGCTCAGTTCTGTCTCGCAGAGAACTATACTTATCCCCAGGGTCTTTTGCCCTCTGGTTTCTAGGTCCTGAGTCTTGCCGTGGCGCCAACTCTTGCCAGACAAACCCTCTCTCCAAGGTTTCAGCAGTCCCCCGATGCTCTGCCGCTCAGTAGAAGCCTCTGGTTTCTGAGCTAGACATCAGTGCCTGCTCCCGTTTTTAGTCTAGCCCAAGGGCTGGTAGCAGCTTTCTGCTGCTACTAATCCTCTGCATTCCCTCACCAGCACCTGTTTGGTTTCGGAGCCCTTCCATCACATGAGTAACCAATTCTCTTGATTTATTCATTCCCTCCTGTATGAGCTAGAATTTTTTTCCTGGCTGATCTCTGATCAATAAGCCATGTAAGTATCCATTCAACACTTCCCGTGCATTATTTCATTTAATCCTTACACAGTTTTGAGTTTAAAGACAATATCCCCATTGGACGTCAAATGATTTCCTCAGATCATGCAACAATTAGAGCACAGAGTCCAACACCTAAGCGGTCTGACTCAAGCCAAAACTCTTCACCCCGCCACTGTAACAGCCTTCCAGTGGGAAATGCTAGGGGCGGTTCAGAGGAAAGTTCACTGGTTACACTTCCTGATGGGGATCTAAGTGGTTCTCCACTGGCGGGCAGCACACAAGTGGCCAATAACGAATGGCAGGAAATGGCATAAGTTGGCTTTAGACCAGCGGGTTCCTGACTAACAGCATTAGCACCAGCACTATTTGGAAAGCTGTCAGAAGTGCAAATCCAAGGTTCTCTCACTCTGAGAGTAGGACCCAGCAATCTCTTTCAGCAAGCTCTCTGATTTTAATGCATACTATAGTTTGAGGATCACTACACTTAAGATCACCTGATTATTGAAATAGTACTGCCAGTATTTTAATTAAAAGCCACCACCATTAAGGAGTGATAGAAATATATTTTACTTTATGATACAATTTATATTCACAGCATTGAGTCTATATAGAAAATAGACTGATTTTCAGGTTAGGAGGCCTAGGCTGGTCTTAGCTCTGTTTTGAGCCCACTGTGGGAACTTGGCCAACTCACTTCACCCATCTAGGCCTCTAACCGCCTATCTGTAAAAATAAAGTTGTGAGTCTACATAGTCGCAGACACTGTGATGTGATTTAGTGGAATGAATGAGACTACTCAGTCCCCTGGTTTTCCATTTACAATTTGGCCACAGTTATAACCCACAACATAACTGGTGACTGCAGATCACTGCAACTGATTAAGAACTGGCCCCTTGCGTCGTCAGCGACCATGGCCAAGAATGCATTAGCAGAATTAAGGCCCATTTCGCTAGCTAATGTCTTAAAGCTACACTTGAGGTGAATCAAAATGGGAAGTCAAGTTCTTCATAATGTGAAAAAGAGTATACTTGGAAATGACATTTTGTCTATCTATCTAAAGCATGAGGCCCTGAGTCAGAGGACATGGCCTACAAAATCCTGTGGGGCATGGCAGGGGCAAGCAAGTATGGTATGTTAAGAACAGGTACTATATCAACCCACTAAAAATTTCTTTCTCAACTTCCCCCTTAAAAAGTCTGACTAAAAATAAGAATTTTGTAAAGACTTAAATGTAAGACTAGAAGAAAACATAGGAAAAAAGCCCTCGGACATGGGTCTTGGTGATCATTTTTTGGCTATGACCCCTAAAGCACAAGCAACAAAGTAAATAATAAACATGGGACTGTATCAAACTGAAGAGCTTCAGTTTGAAGGAAACGATCAACAAAATGAAAAGGCAATCTACGAATGGGAGAAAATATTTGCAGACTATATATCAGATAAGGGGTTAATGTCCAAAATACATACAGAACTCATTACACTCAATGGCAAAAAGAACCCAAAGAATCCAGGTTAAAAATAGGCAGAGGACCTGAACAGAAAATTTTCCTTGGAAAACAAATGAATGGCTGAAGGTACATGAAAAGGTGGCCTATGTCAATAATCACTAGGGAAATATAAGTCAAAACCACGAGATAGCACTTCACACCTGTTAGAATGGTTATTAATAGCAAGTGACATAACCAAGACTGGGACATGGTTGTTCTTGTGAGGGGAAGGAATTACCTAACAACCATTCATGAACAAACCACCACTGAAAGAATCCTAGAACAGGAAGTGGGGCTGAAGTACCCAGTGCACCACAGGGAACAGGACAGACTGCCCTGCAGGGGTGAGAGGAACAGCTACATGCTGATCGCGTTGCCCTTCCTCCAGGTCAGGGCAACACCGTGCCAGGAGATCTCCTCTGAGCCTACAATTCCTCCAGCAGAAAAAGAGAGGCCAGGGGTGACGCCCAGCCCTCACAGCATGGGGGGGGGGGGTCCATTCCTGAGAGCCTCTCTTCTGGTTCTCACAGAGATCACCAGGGATTCCGTAGGACTCAACCACTGGCAATGGAATTGTAACACAGAAAAGAGTTGGGGTTTCCGTTAACCAACACTTGGATGTTGGCAGACCAAACTCCTACCTGTAGAGCCCAAGTAGTAGCTCCCAAGCAGCAGTTTTGCTCATCTGCAGTACCATGTCAGGGGGTTGTCTGACCAGGGTACTTGGCAGGGTGAAGGGATACCTGAGTATTAGGGCCCTCAAACAAAAGGCTTCCCCAGCCCTGAAGTCTGGTCTGCCCCTGCCCATGCAGAAAGGCTGAGCCATCTGACAGGAAGGGCTGCGAACACCTAGCGGCTGTGTAAACCGCATCATTCAAGCCAGAGGACAGGCAGGCCAAGATGATCACCTTCAGAGCAAAGTCAGTGGCCCTGTCTGGCCAGAGAACCCGGGGCACAGGTCTGCTTAAGTCAAGACCACAAAAAGCCTTAGTGGCCTTGGAGCTACTTCTCTCACTGCACTAGGCAGAGAAACTAATTCATATTAGTTTCAATCATCTTACTGCTGAATACAATCTTCAGCCCACCTGACCAGGGAACCTTACCAAAACACACAGGAAGTGGCAGAGCCCATCCAATAGCCTTGCTTACAGGTGGACTTGCATAGAAGGGCACAGGTCATGGCTTTCCCTGTCTGCAGAATAAAACCAGTGGCTTCACCTGACGAGGATGTCAGTGTACACCCTTGCCTAATTTGGGTCCCCAAACAATGAGCCAAGCAGGCCCTGGGACCCATCTGGTTGCCCTGCCAGGTCAGGGAAACTAATTCACAGCCCCACGTACTGCTGAGTATAGGACCCAATCCGACTGTCTAGTAAGCCTGACCAGAAAATCCAGGCAACTGCGGAGCCCATCCTACAGCCTCACTTGGCCAGGGAACCACAACAGCAGTCCTATCCAGCTGTTCTCAGTCAGTGTCATACCATCCCTCCCACTCCTCCTGATGACCTCGGAGCTTGAACAGTTGCCTCACCCCAAAATAGACGCTAATACCAGGTCCCATCTGCCCAAGAACATTACCAGCAGACGTGTCCCAAAACCCGAGCTGAACTGACTAATGAAAACCTGTCTCTGCCAAAGCTAACCACTGAAGTCTGGAAGAGGAAACCAATCACTCAAGCGTGCAGATACCAGTGTAAGAAGTCAAAGATCATGAAAAATCAGGTAAATATGACCCCACCAAAGGGAACTAATAAAACTCTAATAACTGACTCTAAAGAAATGGACATCTTGACACTTAACCTTGAGGCACCTCGGTGGCTCAGTCGGTTAAGCGTCTGCCTTTGGCTCAGGTCATGATCTCAGGGTCCTGGGTTTGAGCCCCACGTTGGGCTCCCTGCTCAGTGGGGAGCCTGCTTCTCCCTCTGCCTGCTGCTTCCCCTGCTTGTACTCTCTCTCCTTCTATCAAATAAATAAACAAAATCTTAAAAAAAAAAAAAGGAAGAAATGGAGATCTAAGTAGTGTCAGGCAAAAAATTCAAAATAATCCTCTTAAAGAATTTTAATGAATTACAAGAATGTACAACTAAATGAAATTAGGAAAATAAAGCATGAACAAAATGAGAAATTCAACAAA